CTGATGTACCTGTTGGTGGTAGAGTAGCTGATGTACCTGTTGGTAGTTGAGTAACTGATGTACCTGTTGGTGGTTGAGTAGCTGAGGTACCTGTTGGTGGTAGAGTGGCTGATGTACCTGTAGGTGGTTGAGTTGCTGATGTACCTGTTGGTGGTTGAGTAGCTGATGTACCTGTTGGTGGCAGAGTAGCTGAAGTACCTGTTGGTGGTTGAGTAGCTGAAGTACCTGTTGGTGGTTGAGTAGCTGATGTACCTGTTGGTGGTTGAGTTGCTGAAGTACCTGTTGGTGGTAGAGTAGCTGATGTACCTGTTGGTGGTAGAGTAGCTGATGTACCTGTTGGTGGTTGAGTTGCTGATGTACCTGTTGGTGGTAGAGTAGCTGAAGTACCTGTTTGTGGTAGTGTAGCTGATGTACCTGTTGGTGGTTGAGTAGCTGATGTACCTGTTGGTGGCAGAGTAGCTGAAGTACCTGTTGGTGGTTGAGTAGCTGAAGTACCTGTTGGTGGTTGAGTAGCTGATGTACCTGTTGGTGGTTGAGTTGCTGAAGTACCTGTTGGTGGTAGAGTAGCTGATGTACCTGTTTGTGGTTGAGTTGCTGACGTACCTGTTGGTGGTTGAGTTGCTGATGTACCTGTTGGTGGTAGAGTAGCTGATGTACCTGTTGGTGGTAGAGTAGCTGATGTACCTGTTTGTGGTCGAGTTGCTGACGTACCTGTTGGTGGTTGAGTTGCTGAAGTACCTGCTGTTGGACCTTAAATTTAGATTTAATCATTGTTTGTGTTCAAATAATTCTAATATTAAAGTATTCACAAAATAAATCAAACATTGTGAAACAAAGAGAAAAAAAATTGACAGCATTTTAAACTATTCAAAAAAAGCTTAAAGCCTAGATAGAAAAAGTCCATTACTAACTTATTCAGTTATGCCTATCTTTTTAACTTGAAGGTAGCTTTGTCTTATATTTTATAAAATGTCTTTGATTCTCAATGGAAACCGGGTTTTTTACATAATCTTATACATCAAAAGGTAAGACTCAAAGTGCTTAGAAATGAGCAGTGAAAACACTACCTGGCTTTTCAATGAAAGCATGATTGCAGTTTTATCTCTATTTCTTACATTATTCAATAATTGTTTTTTCTCATTTTATTGTCACAATACCAAACAAATAATTTGTAATAGCATAAGACAATAAAAACATTAACAGAAAATTCTTTTATTTTAGGAATTATAGTAATAGTAATTTACTTTTTCATTTATTTCTCTATTTTTCATAATCAGAGAGGACTAATATTTCTTGGAAAACAATTTTGAATGAAATTTAAATTTTGTCAAGTAAAGTTGAAATGCTATCACAAGATAACCAAAAGGTTTGCTCAATATTTCTTGCTAACAAATTTGAAATTGTTTGCCAACTGTAAATAAAGTGTGCAATGTGCATGTTACTAAGTACACATGAAAATTTCAAAATTGTTCCTAAATTCCATTACATAACGTTTCACAAAATCATGCCTAACTCACCTGTTGTGGTTGGACTAACTGTTCCTTCAAAACAAGCTCGTACATCTAAAGTAAATTCAACAGCTTCAGACACATTACTAGGATAAAATATTATCTTTATCTTTTGAGCCTTTTCATCAGGTCTGAAGTCTATTCTCTGATCTCCTGGAGCATTGAGAGCAGGCTATAAAAAAAAAGATTTATTAGATCCTTGGTTTCAAATCTTTTGAACTTCAAGCACAAGCCTATACCTCTTATGAAACTCTAATTAAGTTCAAAAACTAAGGCGCTAAAAAATATCAATACAAAGGTAAAATAAGGAAGAATGAGGAACTCAATCTGTCCTGGTTGTCAAAATTTACCAAAAAAAGATTTAACGAAACTATGCTTAATTCTTTCATGGAAATAACCTTATTTTTAAAAATTTGACTGAACTACCCTCGTGTGTGTTATTTTCATGTAAAAAAAATGAAATGAATGGAGTTTTACGTCCTACTTTTCTGCACCATGTGGGCTAATGAAGACGGGCAACGCCATGCAGGGTGCCATGAGGGAAATTTTGCCAGGACAGCGGCATTAGCCTGCTCTTTTTCGATTTCCAACTGTCGAGGGATCTTTAACGTGTACAGCCTGTAGCACACGGGGCCTCGGTTTATTGTCCCATCCGAACGACTGGACGCTTTATCCATGTAAGCCCCTCGTACCTGCATCACTGACAGGGGGAAACCGGGTTGAAAAATCCGAAGGTATTATCTCAACCTATGCCGGGATTGAACCATGGACCTTCAGGTTAGCGAGCAAGCGTCTAACTCACTGAGCCACCGCAGCTCCTTATTTTCATGTAAGAATCATACTTAGTTGTGTATAATCTTGTTGAGTCAATATGTTGGAAGAATATTAATGCTGAGAGATTGAGAGTCGGACCTTGGTTGACTATAACATAGTTGATATTTCTTTGACATATACCAAGTAATCCAAAAAACAGAACTTGAAATAACATAAAAATCTGAAAAGTCCCCAAAATTTCAGTTTTCTTGGCAGCTTTGCATATAAGTCATAGATTTTCAAAGTAAAGCTATAAATAATCTTGAAGTGTTGGGAGGGTATGTGCTTATGCTATGCAAGTTTGCTTCATTATTAATAAGACTTACTTAAATTTTCATGTATTTTTTGATTACCCTCTACTATTGAATACGATATATAAATGAATTCATAACCTATTTGACTTTATACATACTTTATCAGTTACAGGGGTTACATCTCCATTAACAGAAATCAATTCTATTTCCACTCTCTTAAGGTTCTGGGTATTCTTGTATTCCACAAATCCTAGACTGATATCTGTTTTTGCCAAGGTAATAGTAATAGGACCATTATTGTTAGCTAATGAGACAAGACCAGTAGGACTTCTTAGAGTAGATTTTTGTGCATTATTTAAACCATCAAGATATGAATCAGGAATGTAGGCAGGTTCTTGCATACCATTAATTTCTTCACAAACTTCTAAAATAAAACACAGATACATGAATGGAATAGAAGGATTATGTAAAGAAGACAATATTTAATACAAATATTGTAACAAACATCATTTAAAAGTAACAGAATTATGCAGCTTTTATTCCATTAATTAAATGGTAAGTATTAGTATAATCAAGTTCACATTGCACATTTTCAAGTAAGTTTATTAAAACTGATTTTCTTCATATTATTACTATAATAAAAATATTTATCTAAATCAATTAAGTTACCAGAAGGTCCAGGTGTTGTAGGTAATAATGGTGATGTTCCTGGTTGTCCTTCTGTTGCTGATGTTTCAGATGGTCCTTGTGTTGTGCCAACAGTTTCTATCAATAGATAAAGAATATGAAATGGCAGAACTGAAAAATGGGTGACCAGTAAAACATGAATTCATGCATTATCATCTTTGAACAAGATATTCATATATTTGCATTTAAATGTGATCAAAACAATATTTTGAAGTAAATCTTCAAGTGGACATAAATAAAACTTTCTTTCAGTAAATTGAAACTAAGTCAATATGAATCGATCATTTCAGTAAAAATATTCACAAAATATTACCTTCAAAACAGGCATGGATTTTCAATTTAATTTCAACTGATTGT